CCTTCAATGCACCTTGGACTTCCTCCTTCAGTATCATTGGCTCTTGATCATATGCTACCTCTTGAAATGGTTGAACATCAACCATTTCCTTTGGTACAGTGACTGTATTTCTTCCATCTTCTTTAGATGCTTTCTGCATCATTCAATAATTTGCCCAGAGAATCCTTCAACAGTGAGAGCTGATGCTTGATTTTTTTTTTCTTCAGTTCCACCAGTTTGAGAAATACTGAACATGTTCTTCCTTTTTGGTTTTCTCATTCCAACTCTTTGCACATTTTGTTGTAATGTTTGACTTTATCTTCCCAAGATGACCTTTGAAATTTTCTGTTCAGCTCTTGGACCTCCTCATTTCTTCCATTTGCTTTAGCATCTCTACACTGGACAGCAAATTTCAGTGTTTCCTCTGACATCCATTTTGATCTTTTCCTTCTTTCTTGTCTTCTCAATGACTGTTTTGCTTTCTTCATGTATGAGATGTTCTTGATGTCATCCCACAACTCTTCTGGTCTTCGGTGTTTAGTGTTTAACGTAGCAAATCTGTTCTTCAGATGATCCCTAAATTCAAGTGGAATATACTCAAGGGCATATTTTGGCTCTCATGGACTTGTTTTCATTTTCTTCACCTTCAGTTTGAATTTGCATATGAGTTCCACAATCTGCCCCTGGCCTTGTTTTGACTGATGATACAGACAGAGCTTTTCCATCATCTCTTTCTACAAATGTAGTCAATTTGATTTTTATGTATTCCATCTGGTGAGGTCCATGTGTATAGTCATCTTTTATGCTGTCTAAAGAAGGTATCTGAAATGAACAAATCATTGGTTTTGCAGAATTCTATCATGTGTTCTCCAGCATCATTTCTATCACCAAGGCCATATTTTCCAACTACTGATCCTTCCTCTTTGCTCCCAACCGTTGCATTCTAATCACCAGTAATGATCAATGCATCTTGATTGCATGTTTGATCAATTTCACATTGAAGAAATTGGTAGAATTCTTCTATTTCATCCTTACTGGCTTTAATGGTTGGTGCATAAATTTGAATAATAGTGGTATTAACTGGGCTTCCCTGTAGGCACATGGATATTATCCTATCACAGACAGCGTTGTACCTCATGACTGATCTGGATATGTTCTTTTTGACAATGAATGCAACACCATTCCTCTTCAATTTGTCATTCCTGGCATAGTAAACCAAGTGGTCGTCAGACTCAAAATGGCCAATACCAGTCCATTTCAGCTCACTAATGCCTAAGATATCTATGTTTACGCGTTTCATTTCATTTTGACAACTTCCAATTTTCCCAGATTCATACTTAGTACATTCCATGTTCTGATTTTCAATGGATGTTTACAGCTGTTTCTCTTCATTTTGAGTTGTGCCCCATCAGCAAATGAAGGTCCCGTGGGCTTTTCTTACTCCATTCACGTCATTACAGCCAATTGTATTTTGAGAAGGCAGTTCTTGAGCAGTGTTAGGTACTACATATACAAATCGAATAAGACATGCTCTCTGTCCTCAAAAAATTCAAGAATCTACTTACGAAGAAGACAATATAAGCAAGTATAACATGATGAGAAAAGATATACTGCAGAGATTGGTAAAAGATGTTCTATGCACACAAGAGGAATGACTAACTCAGTTTGGAAAAGAAATTCCCAAAGCCTTCATAGTGAAGTGATGTTTGTTCAGAATTTTTTTAAAGTTTTTATTGTGAATTATGTGGGTTTACATGGGGGAACATCATTTTACATTCATCCTATCATCTTTCATTTCATTGCAATTATTACAATCCTCTCCATGCATCATCAAACAACCAAAGGATACACTCCACAGGTCTGCCCCATGGCCATCAGCACAAAGCCCCTCTCCCTCTCTGAGTCCAGTGTACTCATCTGCTCCATCTGTCCACGTAATCATCTCTGCCTCCATCTCTGGTGTCACTGCTTTTCTGGGTAGGATCCCGCCCGCACTTTGCTCTTCTCACCTGATGATCCCAGGGACCTTCGCTCCTTGACTTGCACAGATTTTTGATAGATATAGGTAGTTACACAAACTAATAAGGCACAAAAAGGCTTATGAGACATAAGGAACAGCATATACAAAGACCCATAGTAGAGAAAAGTACCTGCTGTGTTCAGTGAACTGGGTTTGGGATGAGTTATAAGAAGCATGGAGTTCCTGAGTACTACAAATGTTTAGCACATTTAGCTGCTAGTCAAAAAGATGAAAGTTTAAGTCCACCCCAGATGCCTCAGAAGACTGGAGTGATCTGCTTCTGACAAACCAGCCACTGGGATGCAGTTCTACTCTGACACAAATGGGTTTGCCTTGAGCCAGAATTGAGTCAATGGCAACTGGTAGGAAGCATGCTAGGATGTGGCGGCTTGAAGAACCTTGTATGAAATACCAAAACAAATATACTCATTTTGTGTGACAGGGATTTTTACACTGTTTTTTAAATACCTATACCTCCCCCTAGGAGCGCAGTGGCTCCATACAAATGAACACTGGACTGTAAACCATAAGGTCAGTGGTTTGAGCTCACCAGCCGCTCCACAGAAGAAAAGATGAGGCTTTCTGCTCACATGAAGATTTAAAGCCTTGGAAACCCTATACAAGATCACTATGAGTCAATTCCACAGCACTTATCAACAACAAAATACCTCCCCCGACCCCTTTTTATTAAAGTAAACTTCATTTGAATGCCAAAGAAAACAAATCAAAGCAGAATTGTCCAGATTCACCTGCTCTCCCTTCCTCTTGCTGCATCCCTCTCCCACACAGTAGGCCCTAAGGAAAACTGTGCCCGTCTGTATCTGTAAAGGTTGTGGTTTATTGTAGTTAGGCATCACTGAGTCAGTTCAGATTCAAAACAACTTTAGCACAACAGAATCAAATTGCCTGGTCCTGTGCCATCGTCATAACCCATATTTGAGCACACTGCTGCAGCCACTGTGTCAATCCATCTCGTTGAAGGTCTTCCTCTTTTATGTAGATGCTCTACTTTTTTGTGCATGATACCCTTCTTCAGGGACTGGTCCCTCTTGATAACATGTCCAAAGCATGTGAAAAGGAGCATGCTGAAAGTACTTCTTGCAACACCAATCTGTTTGTTCTTCTAGCAGTCCATGGTATGTTTTAGCATTCTTTGCCAACATAGCTCAAACACATCAATTCTTCCTGGGTTTTCCTTATTCACTGTCCAGTTCTTATACATATGAAGTGACTGAAAATCCATGGCTTGGGTCAGGTGCACCTTAGTCCTAGTTCTCAAAGTGACATCTTTGCCTTTGAACACTTCAAAGATGTCTTTTGCAGCAGATTGCCCAATGTTATACACATTGTTTATACAGAAACCCTTGAAGACCCTACTGGGCCTTTCTACTCTTTCCTCTACAGTTGAAATGAGTTAGAAATGACTCTATGATGATGATGGGTTTTGACTTTTTAGAAAGTCCAATGTGACAGGTAAACTGTAGACTAAAATCAGGGTGACTAGTTAGGGCCTAACTACATAAATCAAGGCCAAAAAAAAAATCACTTGTTAAGTGCCATTGAACTGGTTCACATTCATAGTGATGCTGTATAGGGTTTGAGGAATGGCTAGCGGGTTTGAACTACCAACCTAAACAGCCACATGAAGACTCAAAGAAAAAAACGTCGCTAGGGTCTATTTAAGAGGAAGAAAAGGGAGAGGGTTAAGACTTATTTTGGAGCAGAATCAGTAAGATTTGACAAGTAACTGAGCATGGGTGGTGAGAAGAGCTCATGGCTGGTGAAATTTTCATTGGCATAAAGAATACACATTAACTCAGGAGGTTTACTTATAGGGATAAACAGTAGTCTCAAATTGTATTACAGACAAACCTCATGCAAGCTAGAAACTGAGACTGGTCAGTGTCACTGTACACATCTGTACAAGTTTCTTTTTCTCTTAGGCCACACATCCTGTGTTTGGCTGATTAGCTGAGTTTTTAATCCCCCAGGTAACTTAAGATTCACGGTGCTAAGTTTGGTCCCAATGCTATCAGCTTAAGCAAACATCGCCAACTGTCCCAGGGGGGAATGACTGCCCCAGGTCATCATTTCAAATCAGATCAACCTCAAATACACACAAGGAATAAGTAGCTATTGTTATTGCTAAGTGTTGTGAGTCGGTTTCCGAGGAGCAGTTGGTGAGTTTGAACTGCCGGCCTTGTGGTTTAAACCAAACTTGTAGCCCAGCGCTTATCCTACAACGCCACACTCTAATTCCATCACAGTTCTAATCAGTTGTTGGGAGGAGGCATGATACAGCAAACTCCAGTCACCATTTACTGGTGTTTCCTATGCAATAAGCCCTATGCTAATGTATAAATGAACCTCACAGCCATTCAGAAATAAGCATTATTAACTGTTGCAGACCATGTAGGCCTGGTCAGAAGTTCGAAGCCCTATAGGCCCGAGTGTTACAGGTCGCAGGCTCTGAGGAACAGATCTAGCCACTTGGCAGTTAATGGCAAATTGTTTTTCATCTTAGTGTTCAGTTATGTTTATTAATTTCATACATGGAGCCCTTGATATCCACAGATAAATGTGATATTTTCCTAAAAGCCCAGACTGTAAAGGTTTCAAGGGTAAAGCCTTTCTTCAAAGGATTAACTGAAAATGGCTTGGCTACTTCCCAGATTCTTTGTTCTATAGACAAAAAAGCCATCTTCCTTAAATCTGTCCCAGGTGTTAGCTTTTCAGCCAAGTTCCTGAAAACCTGGCTCAGGAAGCCAAAACAGCGGGACTCCGCCCAAGCCTTTTGTCCTTCCCTTTCACCTTGCCCCAACTGAGCTCAGGGGCTATAGATTTGTTAATTTAGCCTGAGAAACCAAGTTGCTGGCCTGGGATTCGAACCAGCGACGTACGATGTAAAGTTACCTGAATGTCTGGAAAATTACTGATGTCAGCTGTACCTTGTCTTAGTCCCTCCCAGCTTGGTGTGAAGCTCCTCCCCTAAATAAAACAGAGGCCCAGGCCGGCCCAGGTGTGCATTACAGGTTGGAGGGCATGCAGTAAAAATTGCAGGGCAATGAGTAGCTGCCTGCAGAGGCCACGATGCCTGTAGTCCCAAGTCTGCCCATCAGTGATGCATCCACCCTGGTTTTGGGGTGCCTCTTTGTCTCCCTCTGTTTGTCTGTCTGTGTATTCTTTTGCTATCTCTATTGTCGCTGGATCTCCCCTCCTTGTGAACCAAACACTCGTGAACAATACAACTATGTCGAGGACAGTCCCCGACAATTAACCCCATTCAGAGAAGAACAGCAGTCTTAGTGTGGCACTGTGGGTTAATGCGCTGGACTGCAATCAGTTTGAACCTCAAGGTTGGTGGTTTGAGCTCACTGTCACTCTTCAGAAACCCTGTATGGGGTCACTATGGGTAGGAACCAACTTGAAGGCACTTAACAACAACAACCTTAGGTGACAGAGCTAGATCTTACTGCAGGTGTCCTGTTCTTAAATCACAATCTCTAACAGTACCCACTGAGCAAGAACTACCAGTGGAGTCAGTAATCTAAACCTGGGCATTGTGATGTTACAGGACAGAAAGGGCATTATTAGAACAAGTAATTATGAGATAAGAATTCTAGGATGGAAACAAATTTAGGAATAACTGAGATATATTAAGTCATGGCACTAGAATTCTTTTGAATATGAATGCCAAGTGAAAAGCAATGAATAGCACTGGCAGAATCCTGGGAGAAAAGTGGCATATAAGGAATTCATGAAAAAGAGTAAGAAATAAGACTCAGAAGTAAACCTGGAGGCTGTAACATATGAAAAATAAGGAAAGACAGATTAACTAAAAAGGACGTTATAAAAGTGGCAAATAATGAAGAGGATTTTTTTTTAAGCCTCCAAACATTTTTAAAGAACTTTCACTGCACATGACAATACTGTTGTTGTTGTTAAGTGCCATTGAGTCGATTCCAACCAATAGCAACCCTGCGTAGGGTTTCTAAGGAGCAGCTGGTGAGCTTGAACCACTGACATTGCAGTTCAAATGACTTTACAGCTAACGTATTAGCCCAAAGCATCACACAAGGACTCCACATGGCAATAATACTGACAGCTGTATTTTACTTAAATGTCCTCAAAAGACCTTCAGAGCAACTGATGTTTTTATAAAAAGAAAAGAAGCAATAAGGCATTTTCCAAAGGTCATGTGAAGCATATCTTGACAACAGTTAACAATGACATGTAAAGCAGTTAAATTTAGCTTGCAGGTTGCCACGTTATGCATAATTACTTAGCGTAGTGGTTATGAGTCAGGCTGCTAACCTCAAGATCAACAGTTTGAAACTATCCGCCATTCTGCATAAAGATTCTGCTCCCGTAAAGATTTATAGCCTTGGAAATCCTATGCAAGATCACTATGAGTTAGAACCGACTCCACAGCATACCACCAACACTACCACCATGCAAGATGAGGCAATGTGAGAAGGTATTTTTATAGAAATTTTTTCAATAGACATTATAAACACTACATCCTCTCATTTATCATACCTAGTCAAATAAGTAGATTCAAATTCAATAACATTTGGAAAAACAGGAATATTAGCAATGGTAACTTGCCTAAAATCATGTGATTTTTGTTGTCAGTGAAGGAACTGAAACAACTGATTAAGATTACACACAATGATTTTGTTTTATAACTAGGAAAAAAAGAAAAAAGTAACAAAATCAATGCTTGTATAAGGAATCCCAAGATTATTTTTGATGATGATGAACCATCTTCCTTACAAATTTTTGCAAAGAAACAGACCAAGATTTAAATAGTACCTTATTATGACCGCTGGCTTTTTCAGTCAGGTCCAGAGACTGAGATCGGTTTCTGGGATTAGGCCACTCTTCCCCAATCAAAGATGTCCTCAAGGAGACCTTGTTTAACTGCTGTATGTATAAGAAGAGCAGAAACTGCAGAGTGTCCACAGAAAGCTGTTCAAGAAGGAAATTAATTATCAGTACATATCCTGAAACCACAATTACTAGTCTACAACTATGAAAATGTAGCAAAATAATTGACAAGTTTGCTGATACCTAAAAAAAAAAAAAAAAGGGGGCGGGGGGGGGTTATATGTATGTTTCTATGGAGCCCTGGGAAGGAACTCTGGTGGCATAGTGATTACAAGTCAGGCTGAAAACCTCAAGATCAGTAGTCTGAAGCTACCAGTCATTCCATGGGAGAAAGATGAGGCTTTCTGCTACATTTACAGCATTAGAAACCCCATACAGGGGCGTTATGAGTCGGAACCGCCTCCACAGCACACCACCACCACCATGGAGCCCTGGGAGCACTGTGGGTAAGTGTTGGGCAAACTGCAAGGTTGGTGGTCCAAACCCACCAGTCACTCTGAGGAAGAAAAATGAGCTGTCTGCTCCTGTAAAGATTTCATTTTAAAAGACCGAAGTAGTATTTCATGCCTAGTTTTTTATTTAAAGTACATTATTTCACAAGTTTAAAACTGCAGTCAAAGAAACAACAAACAAATTCTAACCACGTTGATTAAATACATGGATAGAAAGAAATGTAGTTAGGCCACAGGAGTTGGTTTAACCTAGAGTTCACAGACGTATCAAAAAAAGTTGAGGATATCAATGAAACTCCTGAAATTGTATGCATGCTTTTGGAGTATTTTGTGGTGAGGGTCACAGATTTTCATCAAATTCTTAAAAGGGTTGTTGGACTAAACACAAATAATTTCTGGTCTGGTAGATGCTGATGTGGCACTGCAGGATAATGCGCTGAACCACAAGGTCAGTTTGAACCACAAGGTTGGAGGTTCAGACCCAGCAGCTGTGGAAACACTATTCGGGGCTGCTGTGGGTTGAAACTGAATCAATGGCACTTAACAGCAACAAGATGCTTACAACTTATTTCTTATTTGATGGGTATGGTTTAAACCTCATGATTACTTTCAGGTATCCTTTCCCATGCACACCTACATATGAAGTAATACATCTAGGTCTACTATCTAAAATTTATAAAGAAATCAGGCTATATTTACCTGGATTCTATCTGGCTAAAAATCACTATCACCTCAGAAACTTAAAAATACATTCTCAGGAGCCACCCAGATCTATTCAATCAAGTTTGAATGTGATGTTCCCATACAGCTGTATTTTCAATTTTTTTCTTTCTTAAATTTTTGAATTTTGAGATAATTGTGAATTTTCATGTTGTTGTTATGTTAGATGTTGTTGAGTCGATTCCAACTCATAGTGACCATATGCACAATAGAACAGAACACCTGGTCTTACACCATCCTCACAACTGTTCTATGTTCCAGTCCATTGTTGCTGCCACTGTGTCAATCCACCTCGCTGTGGGTCTTCCTCTTTCTTGCTGACCCCCCACGTTACCAAGCATGATGTCTTCTCTAGACACCAGTCCCACCGGATAACAAGTCTAAAGTATGAAAGACAAAGTCTCGCCATTCTCCATTCTAAGGAGCATTGTGGCTATACTTCTAGATTTCCATGTAGTTGTGAAAAATAATACAGTGGTCCCATGTAACTTTTGCCCAGTTTTCCATCTTGCAAACTATTGTAGAATATATCACAACCAGGATATTGTTATTATAGATACGATACAGGGCATTTCCATCAACACAAGGATCCCTCATCTTGCCCCTTTATAGCCACACTCACTTTCCTCCTTCCTTCATCCTCTCTGTTACCCTTGGCAACAACTTACCTGCTTTCCATGTCCATAATTTGTCATTTCAAGATAGTTACATAAATGGAATCATATAGTATATAACCTTTTGGTATAGGCTCAGCACAATTTACTAGAGATTCATCCATGTTGTTTATTCTTTTTTACTGAGGAGTAGTGTTTCACAGTATGGATGCGCAGCGTTTGTTCAAATATTCACCCATTGAAGGAAATCTGAAATGTATCTGGCTTAGGGCCATTACAATAAAGCTTTTTTAAAAAAATCATTAAATAAAATGCCTTTGTTTTAATTTCTCTGAGACAAATGTCTAGGAATGTAATTGTTGGGTTGCATATTAGTTACAAGTTTAGATTGTTAGGAGACCGTCAAAGTATTTTCCAGCAATTCACCCTCTCTACATCCCTACCAGCAAATGATGCTATTCTTATATTTTATTTTAGACATTTTTGATAGGAGAGTAGTGATGTTTCATTGTGGTTTTAATATGAATTTCCCCTAAAGACTTACAACAGGAGCTCTGGTAATGGTAGTGGTTATGCACTAGGGTGCTAACCACAAAGTTAGCAGTTCGGATCTACCAGGTGTTCCACAAGAGAAAGACAAGGTTTTCTGCTCCTGTAAGGATATACCAGCTGTTCTGCGTGAGAAAGATGAGGCTTTCTGCTCCCGTTAATATTTACAGCCTTGGAAACCCCGTACAGGGTCACTATGAGTCAGAACCGACTCCATGGCACATAACCATCAACACCACCAACAAGGATATACTGCCTCCAAAACATTATACGAGGTTGTTGAGTCCGAACTGGCTTGATGGCACACCACTACCACCACCAAAGACTAATGATATTGATCACTTTTTCATGTGCTTGTCATGTGCATTATTTTCTTTGGTAAAATGTCTCTTCCTGTATTTTACCCATATTCCAGTAAGTTTTTTTTTTTTTTTTCAGTGCTATCTTGAATTATATATTCTAGGTACTAGGAGTCCTGGTGTAGCGCTGTGGGTTAATGTGCCATACTGCAAAGCTGTTTGAACTGCAAGGTCAGTGGTTCAAGCTCACCAGCTGCTCCTCGGAAACCCTATGCAGGATTTCTACAGGTCAGAATCTACTTGACGGCACTTAACAATAACAACAGTCCTTTGTCAGAAATGTGCTTTATAAATAACGTCTCTCATTCTGTAGCTTGTTATTTAAGGAAAAGATTTAATTTTGATAAAGTCCAATTTATCACTTTTTTCCTTTAATGACTCATACTTTTGTTGTCAATTCTAAAAATTCTTTGCCTAGCCCTAGATCACAAATACTTTCTCTTAGAATTTTTTTCTAAAAGTTGTATCATTTACATTTAAGTCCATGATCTATTTTTAGTTAAGGTTGCGGTTCATTTTTTTTGTCTATGGATATCAAATTGTATAATTTATTTGAAAGGCTATATTTCATTTATTGCTTTTGCATCTTGGTCAAAACTTACTTGGGCATTTGGGTCTGGGTCTATTTCTGGATTCTCTATTCTAGTCTATTATTTTTCTATTCTTACTGTAGCTAAATAAATCCTTGAAATTGGGAAGACTGATTCTTCTCACCTTATTTTCTTTTTCAAAATTATTTTAGCTATTCTTATCCCTTTACTTCTTATAATCTTGTCTATATCTACACAAAAACAGTTTATATATTGGTCAGAACTGCATTAAACCTATGTATCAATTCAGGAAGAACTGACATTTTTAGTAGTTTCAATCTTCCAATCTATAATCATATTATGTCTCCACTGATTTTTTTCATTATTGTGCAGTTTTTATTTCATTATTATACAGTTCTATATGCATTTTGCTCAATTTATACTTAAGCATTCTATTTTAGCAATTATGAATGGAACTGTACTTTTAATTTCAAAGACTATATGTGCATTGCTAGTTTATAGAAGCACAACTTTTCTATATTTATATTGTAACTTTCAATCACTCTGAACTCACTTAATAATTCTATGAGGTTTTTGGTAGGTTTCTATATAAATATGTATCTTCTATATAAATAAACATGTCTTAAAAGGAGCTCTGGTAGCGTAGTGGTTACGAATTGGACTGTGAACCGCAAGGTCAGCAGTTCGAAACTACCAGCGGTTCCGCGGAAGAAAGATGAGGCGTTTTGCTCCTGTAAAGATTTACAGCCTTGGAAACCCTGTGCAGGGTCGCTATGAGTCGGAACCGACTCCATGGCACTTAACAACAACAACAACAACAACAAGGAGTCCTGGTGTGGCACTGTTAGTTAATGCACTGGACTGCAAAGTCCACTTAGAACTGGCCTATGGTTCAAGTTTACCAGTTGCTCTGCCGAAAACCTATACAGGGTTGCTATGGGTCAGAACCCAACTAGACGGCACTTAACAACAAGAAGAGAAAAAAAAGTTTCATTTTGTCCTTTTTGACCTGCATTTTACTTCCCTCTCCTTTTCTTGTCTTACTGCATTGATCAGAACTTTCAGTATTGTGCCAAATTAAAGTGGTAAGCAGATATCCTTGCCCTGTATCTGATCTTGGGAGAAAACAATCTTTCATAAGTATGAGAGTAAGTAAAAAAGTATTGCTACTAGGATTACAGTTCATAATGTGCCTGGGTTTATTCCAAACAAAATGTGTTTAAGCATGTCACTTCAATAGGTGAGTGACTGCTGGTAAGTTCTCTCAGTAATGGTGGTGGTAATTATGTGCCGTGCAGTTGGTTCCAACTCATTGTGACCCTTTTAGGGTTTCCGAGGCTGTAAATCTTTACGGGAGCAGAAAGCCTCACTCATCTTTCTCCTGCGGAACAGCTGGTAGTTTCGAATTGCTGACTTTGAGGTTAGCAGCCTGACTCATAACCACTACACTACCAGAGCTCCTTATTAATATACTTGTTTTAATCTCACTAAGGCACCTTCAAAAAAAAAAAGGTCCATTCAAAATAGTGGCTTCAAGAGGATCTGCTGGGCCAGTTAAACTTAAGGCAGAGACGTCAATTCAGAAGGTTATGGTGACTGTCTGATTTTCGGAATTAAAAGAAAATACTGTTGTAGTACTATAGGATAAGCACTGGACTGCTAATCGTGCTAACCACAAGCCTGGTAGTTCCAACCCATCAGCTGCTCTCAATGGGCAAACAACAACAAAATCTTCATAGTTTTTCTCAAAAGACACAGGAAGATCAGGGGCTTATTAGGATAGGAAGAAGTTTTAAGAAAATTGAAAACTGCATTGGTTAAAAAAAAAAAAAAAAAGCCAGGAAAGTTGCACTGAGGAATTTTTGTTCATCACAGCAATGCACCTGCTCATTCTTTGAGGGTAACTGGGGCTGTCTCCAAAGAGATGGGCTGTCACAGTGGCATCAGCAATGGACTCAAACATTACAGTTGTGGGACAGCACAGGATCAGGCAATGTTTCATTCTGTTGCGCAGAGTCGCTATGGGTCAGTGCCAACTCAAAGGCAACTAAGAAAGGCAGTCTCAGGAAAATTTCCTTGGAAGCCTTATCTCTTCTACTCTACAGTCCTGACCTTGTCTTCAGACTTTTTTGTTCCTAAAATGCAAAGAACATTGAATACTTTTAGTACTTTTTATTATGCTATTAAATAGCATTTTTTACGAAGTAGCCTCCCCTACTAGTCTCTGAGTTCTCTAAGGGTAGAGATCTTAATCATCTTTCAATCACAACACATAGAAGATTCTCGTTTTAAAATAGTCAGACAACCTACCTATAACATTATCAGTAGTTCATAAGAACTCACCCCAAAATAGTTTTAGTCTATGAGCTGCCATGGTAAGCACCCCAAAATATCTGTTAAATAGATGAAAATACTTCCCTCTTTCAATTACAGAGTTCTTATAACATTATTGGAGTCCTGGTGTGGCGCTGTGGGCTAATGTGCCAGATTGCAAAGTGGTTTGAACTGCGAGGTCAGCAGTTCAGGCTCACCAGTCTCTCCTTGGAAACCCTATGAAAGTTTGCTATGGGTCGGAACCCACTTGACGGCACTTAACAACAACAAAAAATTACATTATTGCAATAAAGGATAATGCACTGGACCACGAGGTCAGTGGTTCAAATCTACCAGTCTATCCTCGGAAACCCTATACAGGGCACCATGAGTAGGAGCTGACTTGAAGGCACTCAGCAGCAACAGCCTAACACTGCTTTAGGAAAATGATGGGTAAGGATTAATTCAGTAAATACTTAAAAACTGGAAGTGCTACAATTCAAGTGGTGTTTGGGATCACAGTGGTCATTAACCTAAAACCACAAACTACACAGTTAAGTACAAAGATTTTTTTAAAAATCCCTTTCTGCTGAGTCAATTCCGATTCATAGTGACCCTATAGACAAAGCAGGACTGCCCATATCTTTCTATGACTGTGAATCTTTACAGAAGTAGACTGCCACATCTTTCTCCCATGGAGCAGCTGGTGGGTTTGAACCACCAACCTTTCTATTAGCAGCAGAGCACTGAACCAGTGTGTCATCAGGCTTTTAGTACAATGATATGGAAAAGCTTGTGGGTTGGAACTACTAACTTATAGCAGTCAAGTGCTTACCCTACAGTGCCATACCAAGAACAGCTTAGTTTCTAAAATAATTAAACACACACTCATACACATAAATCTATACCTGATTCCTTTGCTTTTCCACTTCATCCTCAGACGTGCAGTTGGATATAACCTCAGACCATTCCAGACGCTCCTCCGGTGTCCTCACCACAAGACTATCAAATACTTCGAAGTAAAGCCACGCCAGGTCCTTAGCCAACTGCAGCTTCCCACATGCAATGTGTCTCCACGTAGACCAGCAGAGACGTGGGTAAGCACCCTCTGTGGCTCGGGTTCTCACATAAGTGGCTATCTTCCTGAGATAATGAAGGCTGAACTTGGACGGAGGAGGTATCTGCAAGGTGCCCACTATAAAGGGTTCTGCTTTCACCCAGAGGAGAACTCCGGACTGATCCATATTACTTCTAAGGACATCTGTGTCAAAAGGCTTCTTTGCATACCTAGGAAACAAGTTTTTTCACAAACTGAATTGAAACAAAACTCATTTATACACTTTCTTGGAAGATGATTACTCCTTTAACTACTTCATCAAACAGTTTGAAAAGAAGCACTAGTGCTCAATCAGGAGCAGAATCATTTTGTGTTAAGACAAAATTATCTTACTTGTATTAGAAATAAATTTTAGAAAGAGTCAAATGATTGTGGGAGGTCTGAACTGGATGCTGGCTATCAAAGCAGACAGAAAAGAAGGACTGGGATAAAGATGCATCACATCACAGGAAATCTTGCTCTACCTTGAGGGGAACTTTCACAAGGTTAAACTATTTACTTACAGAGGATAACTGGTTAAAGATTTAGAGGTATTATCTAACCATATAAGTTCAATATGAAGCAATAACTCCAAATGGTGGACAAGAATACTATTGTAAATTGTGGAATGAACGATTATTTTACCCAAAGAATTTGGTTTTTGTGTCTGGTTCTTGGGAGGTAACCTCTAAAAAAAAGGGGGGACAGCATCAATGGGCTCAAGCGTGGCACCAATAGTGAGGTTGGCCCAGGATCCGGAAGTGTTTTGATCTGCTATTCATGTCACTATGAGTAGGTATCTGACTTGATGGCACCTAACAGCAACAACCTCTAAAAGCTTGGCATGCCTTTGTTATTTATGGAGGGGAGAAGACCACATAGGACAGTTTATGCTAATGAGATTACCCACAATGGAGGCTGCTCATTCCAAAAACACCCACCTGTGATACCAGCTGTACTTTTGAAAAACAGAGGGTTGCCTGAGATTGAATCCAATCACATAGTCAATGATTCAATCTATCATGCCTGCTATGGAACCCCAATAAAAACTTTGGACACTAAAATTTGGTGAATTTCCTAGTTAGTGAAAAGACATCCATACACCAGGAGGGTAACATATCCTTCCTTGGGAACACAGAACCTTTGCATTTGGGACCCTCCCAGACCTCACCCGATGTATGTCTTGTGCATCCTACCCACTATAATAAAACTGAAACATGCTCTCCGGAGTTTTGTGAATCATTCTAGCAAATTATGAAACCTAACAGGGTAGTGAGAACCCAAGAATTTGTAGCTGGTTGGTCAGAAGTTGGGGTGGCCTGAGAATACCTGAGCTGCGGCTAGTGTCTGAAGTTTTGGGCAAACTTGGCAGTCTGGAGAGTTGACCTAATTCCCTATGTTTAGGGTCAGAAGAACTTATAACTGCAATTAGTTCCAAAATTGAATTGAAACATATTTGCAGTTAACATTTGGATAAACCTAACCTGCAAATACGGAGTCCTGGTGTGGCACTGAGGGTTAATGCGCTAGACTGCAAAGTCAGTTTGAACTGCAAGGTTGGTGGTTCAAGCTCACGTCACTCTTTGGAAACCCTCTACAGGGTCGCCATGGGTCGGACCCAACTTGACGGCACTTAACAACAACAACACAACCTGCAAATATAGATCAAGGAAAGTTCAAACATCTTCATTCTCTGTTATTACTGTGCTTAGTTCAAGTATTATACTTTGAGTTTTATCTTTCGTTCTCTGTTGTTACAATATAAGATTTTTATAGAATATTTATTAAAAATCTAAAAATAGAAGGGGAGAAATCATCCACAGTCCCACCACCAGAGGAAAATTAGTTAATATTTTGTAGTACTTACTTTCTCTTTTTTCTATATATGCAGCCACTTAACAACAACATAAAGGATGTTAGTTTGCTTCTAAATTTTTATAGTTGTGATAATACTACACACACGCATATATATACATATAGCTATGGATAATAGCATTGTAATTTACTAAAATTCTGTATAATAGCATCATCATTTATAAAAATGGAAGAACAATTTAATAAACTGGTACATTATATCCCAGTATATTAAATTATTACCCCACTTTTAGACATTCAGGCTTAAAATTTTTCATAAAAATAAAATAAGCAAAATATTCATATTTTTTGAAGCTGAATGAGTGCATGAGGGTTCACTTACCTATTTTACTTTCATATATGTCAAATTTTTATATAATAAAAAGGCTAAAATTGAATTATTTCCCAGGGAAATTTTTCATATGTACATTTGCAATATGAAGTAACATTAACAGTTCTTAAGCTCTTAATGTATATTCCTATGTTGTTGTTGTTGTTGTTAGGTGCCATCGAGTCAGTACCGACCCATAGTGACCCTATGCACAGCAGAACGAAACACTGCCCAATCCTGGGCCAACCTCACCACTGTTGCCATGCTTGAGTCCATTGATGCAGTCACTCCCCAAAATGGTTGTATCCAATTACACCACTACTTGACCACAGGTGTCTTCAGTGAACATTCCTCAGCATTAACATCATTTTGGAAAAAAAAAAAAAATCTTTGCTTATATTACAAATGAAAAATGCTTTATTGCTATTATATTTTGCATTTGAATCTAAGAAAAGTGTGCTTTTTTTTTAAACTATCCCCCAAAATATAGATCGATGGAGTGCTTAGTATGAGGCACATAGTATGCAAAAACTGAACAGATCCAAGTTTTTAAAACGTGGGTTAACCAAAACGTTAACCAGATGGGGAAAAAAAAAAAGTCTAAACCCTATTAGAAACATAATCTCCCTCTTAGAAAACAAGGGATGCTTGCACATTGTCGAGCTCCAAATGGCGGTCGGTCGACAGCACTGCTTTGAATGTGTCACTCTCAACAGTCTTGGCGACACTCTAAAGCCATGCATCAGGCTTCGCTGTCTCCCACTTATTTTGTTTGGATTACTCTATCCAGGGCTTGGACCGTAATTTTCCTATTCCAGTGAGCTTTCTGATCACCCAAATGTTTAAAATTCATGTCTGTTCTGGTTCACTTTGTCCGACATGAGTGAATCGATTTGAAGTCCTACAAAGGACACAGAGAATGTGTTTTTTCCAAAAGAAGAGTGTGTACTGGTAAATGACAGTTATTTTGGAATATGGAGGGTGGAGGGTGGGGCCGGGGGTGGAAGGATCGTTTAGCATCGTTTTGGGTAAAACCAAATGATGAAGTGATGTGAGGAGGGTCTTAGTTCGCTTCCCAGTGGAAATAGGCTGCTCAGTGCGGTACTGGGTACTGTCCCTCAAAAGCCAGATCCTGGCGAGTTGTACTGTACCCTTTAAGGTCCCTTTTAACTCTGAGATGCAACAAAACCAAATTTGTAAATAAACAGAAGCTAGGATCTTTCTTCAAAAACTTTCCAGGGATGCTTGGATACCTTGGGCTTTTCAGGCGGCGAGGTCTCAGCCTCAGCGAGGCCAAAACGGGCCCCCCTGAGGCGTCGCCCAAGCGCCCTGGCGAGAAGACTGGGTTTCCGGGACCCGGAAGCCCCCAGCTGACAGGGTCTGGAACAGACCCCGGATGGGCCTGGCTAGCAGGAAGGCAGCTTCCCCAACCTGGGCTTGAATTTCGACTGGCCATCCTCTCCTCCCTCCCTGGAGTCAGCCCCGCGCCGTTACCTGCGAAGGCGAGCCCCACTGGCCGACTTCTCCACACTCCAGGACGGCCTACACGCATTCGCCAGCCCCTCAACCTCCACCCTCCACCCTCCGCCGCACACAATGCGCAAGCGCAAGACTCGCACCACCGACAATAGGTGGACTTTGTTCCTAGAGCGGCAAGTTGCCTCTCCAGCCTCTCAGACTCTAAATTCGTTCGGTATCTGGGAGGTGTTTTGGTTTGCTTTTGAGAAAAACTTGGCTAAGGCCAAAAGTTCACCAAGCTGCGACCAGGGGCCAGTCTCGACTAAGTTCTGGTGTCTCGCTTTTCATCTTGGAAAAAAAAAGGAACGCAGTGGAGTCGATTCCGACTCATAGGGACCTTTTTGGACAAAAAAGAACTGCCAGAGCTGTTTTATAGGGTTTTCATGACTATAATCTTTACAGGATCGCCGGGTCTTTTCTCCCTCAGTGGGTTCCAACTGACCTTTCGTGCAGCGACTGAGCGTTTTAAGCACTGCACCACCAGAGCTCCAACCTAAGGGAGTAGAAGTTTTCTATTGCGCCACAGAATGTAGTAGACCATAGTTACTGGCAAGGTGAGTAAACTTTGATCCGTAATAATAGTAGTATTCCCTTACATCAATGCAGCACTTACTGTGGGTGCTGTTGTAAAGCACCTTTATATGTATTACCGTAGTCTTCCATAAGAGTCATTTTGTTTGATGAAATTCAGAAATAGAGGTTAAGGTAACTGAGCCCTAAGGTCACACAATAAGAGTTGGAGCTAAGATTAAAACCCAGGCAGCCTGATGCAACAGGTTCCTCCTACATTATCTCCTTAATTCGGCTAGCTTCCGGTGAGGTTTATGCCATGCTGCCTCCTTCATGAAGCTTTTTTGGATTCTACTCAGACTATGTCATTCCTTCCTTTGAACTTTCATTTCATGATTTCTGGCTATCTGCTTTGTTTTGGCATCTGTACTTGTGGGGGATACAAAGATTAATAAGACAATAAGGTGTTCAATCAGTTCAAGAGGTAGCATACAATTAAAAGCCAGTGGTATTGAAGGAAGAAGTGCAAGCTGCACTGAAGGCACTGGCAAAGAACAAGGCTCTGGGAATTGATGGAATACAAGCTGAAATCTTTCAACAAACAGAGGCAGCTCTGGCGGCACTCACTCAACTATGCCAAGAAATGTAGAAGACAGGCCAACTGATTGGAAGAGATCCATATTTGTGCTCATTCCAAAGAGAGATCACCCAACAGAATGTGAACATCATAGGATAATATCATCAATATCACGTGCAAGTACAATTTTGCTAAACATAATTAGAAAATGGCTGCAACAGTACATTAACGGAACTGCCAGAGGTTCAAGCCAGATTCAGATGAGGACATGGAAAGAAGGATCTCGTTGCTGACATCAGACCAATCTTGGCTGAAAGCGGAGAATACCAGAAAAATAATTACCTGTGCTTTATTAACTATCCTGCTGTGGTTCTATGTGATCAGCACTCAACTAC